CGATACTACATTAAAGAAGCAGTCTGTATCCTTAAATGTGTATTGATAAAAAACAGTGGATGAAATCCCATACCATACTTAGCAAAGACAATTTGTCTCACAATACTTTTCAGAATGAATCAGAAGGGCTTATGGAAAAGTTTAAAATCCTAAAACTCTATCATATTAAGTGCATTTATCCTTGCATTTAATCCCATTATGTACCTCCTCAGTTTTGCATTCTTCTTCTTGTAGCCAGAAAAAAAATATTATTTTTCTGAATCTTGTGTTACTATTTCAGGCAAATACAGTTCTGAAAAGCAACGAATTTTCAAACACACCACTGTAAAAAGGCATTCATCATTCTCTGTTTTGTTTTCTTTAACAGACCTATTTAGTCCAAGATCATTCTGCTTAGTGGATGACAACTCTCTTCATCTCTCAGAACTTGCTGTGCTGGCTATCAATGATGGCTACGCAAAAAAGTCTATTTAAACAATTCCTTTCCACCTTACAGAAAATAAATTGTCATTTTAAAAAAGTATCAGTTCAGGTTTTCTCATACTCATGCTTATGCTTCTAAAATTGTACCAGAAGGATAACCAACCAATCTAGAATAATCTCAGTATTTTCAAGAATATAAAATTCAATGGCCAGAAGTAGACAAATGGGCAGGGGGACTATAACAGACTGAAAGGATTTAAGGATTGGAATTAAGGGCTATACTAGGAGGTGAAGAGGCAGAGGGAGATGCTTACAGCAGCCGTGTAGTACAGACTGTTATTAATACCACTAGTGAGGGGTGTCTTAAAACTAATCTGCCTTGCCAACCAAAAATCCTCCCTATCTCTCAGGTTCTAACTAAGGTCAAGTTACTAAACTGCCTTCTTATACATTCTCACGGGACAAATCAGACACTTGACTGAATGCCACAGTTCTGCAGGCAATTTACTTGCATGAAGAGTTAATTGTACTTTTAAACCTTAAACTGAAAATGGAGAAAGAGTCAGGTTAGATCCCTGTCTTTGATGTCAACTTGAAACCATGGGCTACAAAAGGTTGTTTAAAAGCTCCACTTGTTGACTCCTACATCCTAAAACATATTTAAGCCTGATCTTGAAGGATTTACTTATCCAGAGAAATTAAAAGGCGAGTTAAATGCTGATAATCCATGCCAAGGATTCTAGCTTTGGCCTAAGCGAGCATACAGTAATAGGATCACAGTGTTAAAAGTTTGAAAAACAATTTCTCTGGCCAGGCAATTATACCTAATTTGCAACATATATACCCATCAATTCTTTCGAAGTTTTAGCATTTGGAAAATATGCCTTACCCAGATTTATTTACAAAAAAGGCCTAGCTTGCCCTTTCAATTAAAAAAACTCCTTAATGCAGAGAACAAACCAAGACACAATTTAAAACAAAAAGATTACCAAATTAAATTATACATAGGGAAAAAAGTATAGCAACTAGGTACAGCCAAATTAATCACAAAACATCTGCCTAAACAAACATGTATCTAAATCATTTAAAAGGGGCATGGTCTGAGCCAGATCTGGTTCCATAAATTTTAGTTGCCCCAAGAAAATGTTCTACACGGCAACTACCAACTTGATATGGAATTATTAGCAGATTATTTGCGCCAAACATGAAAGAGTTGGAAGGGTACACAAGATAAATCACTCCCTTAAGTATCCTAGACTCAAACCAAAAACAGCTGTAAGGTTTAAAATTCCAAATATACTTACTAGGAATGACGCCCCAACGAAGACAGAAGGTCTTCTTTCTGAATAAATATTCAAAGAACTGCACTATGAACACAAGAACCAGTGCCTTGAATTTGGCCCATAAAGAAACTTCTAACCCTTGGAAATTCACCCAAAACTGGCATTATAGTTTTTGTGTCCCTAAAACAAAAACGATGCTGCATTTTTTAAAGGTATGAGCATACTTTTTAGCCAGATTTTCTCATTCTCATTGTTTCTATATATTCCAATTCAGAAATTATGTCAAAGGCTTCACCTTATGGCCCCTTTCAGGCAAGATGTAAAGCTCAAAGATCTCAATTTCCTGTGCACCAGACACTCATTCTACATATTTTCGTAATGAAACATACAAATGCTGCTGCTGATGATGAAATGGATTATGAGGCAATTTTCTACATGAAAATGTTTTAATACATCAAGCAGCACCACACCTGAACTTGAGATTTATTTCCAAGCATCCAGGTGTGTTGCTGAAGGCTTAAATTTTATACACATTTACTTGGATGTGAGTATAACTGGAATCAATATGACATAATTCCATCTTAATTTTTAAAAAATATTATTTAGAGGGCCAACTTTGATGCATCTTCAAAAGTATCAGACAGTAAATCCACATACTAATCACACAGACAGTATTTAGCATAACAGTTTCTTGTCTCCTATGTGGATTCTAAAACCATCACAAACCTAGATAAGGAAGTTTTTTTTTCTAAAGCATATACCTTCAACAAAAACATAATTATGAATTTATAAGAACTAAATTCCACTCTCCTTGAACATCATGTAGTGTGAAATCCAGTGACAATGACATAGGTAAATTCTGTCACCAAAAAAAGTACACTACTTCAATTCTGTGAGATCTGCTGAACCAATAATTATCCCTTTTTGCTGGTTTTAAAGCAAATTATTTTAATTTTGGGATTTAATAGTAATACCCTCACCATTTATCTTAGTTCCTTATAGCAGCAATTAAAGTCTTTGGAATAAGTGCCACTGTGTTCATCAAGATTTACTTATTTATTTTATTTAAAATATTTCTCCTTAAAAAAGGAGAAAGGTAGCTTAGATACATAGTTAAAAGCACAATATTAAAAGGCAAAAACAGTAAATTATTCAATTATAAAGAAGAAATTGATGCCAATATATTTAAAACATTAGGTAAAAGCATTACTAAAAACAGAATTAGAAGCAACAAAATATAAACCATCTTGTTTACTGACTACTGGACAGTCAGTCACCAAGGGAAAGTCTGCTTGCAGAAGGACAGCAAAGATGGGGCCAGCCTGGTCTCCTGTGGCAGGGAGTTCCAAAGTCTGGGAACAATGCCAGAGAAGGTGCTCTCTCTCTCTCTCTCTCTCTCCAAACGCACCAGTGAGGGTGGTGGGACCAGAGAAAGGCTTCTGGCGATCTTTACACTTGTTAGTAAAGTTGCATAAAGTACGACTTCCAGGTTTTAATACCTGGAAACTATTCTGCCACATACAAGCATTCCGCCTGCTGGTGCTCGCTTCACAATAACATCCACACATCTTGGGCCCGGGCGGAACACGCAGGGCCAAGCCGCGCGTTCACCGAAGGCTGACCTGCGTCCGAGACACGGGTATGCCACGTACACACCTGACGGACGACAGGGTAACTATATAGAGAGGCTCCTAACCTTCGAGAACAACGTCACGTTCCAGAATTCAACCGTTCCCTCAACGCGCACCTCCGGGAGAGCCCCCCACTTCCCTGCCCAGCTTTCCAGGGTGCAAGAGCCGCCGCCGCCTCCGCCGCCACCCGACACGCACAAACGGCGTTGTTCCCAAATGTCAGGCCGGTCACGGGTTTGGCCTGTTTCGCTTCCCAAAGGTGGCCTTCATTGTTTTCGGAAAGGGAAGGGCGGTGGAGCCTGCTATTCAGGGAGGCGGGCTGCTCGTGTGTGTGTGTGTTTTTGTGTGTGTGGTTTTGTTTTTTTTTGCAACCACAGAACTCCCCTCCATCCCCCGCCGCGAAGCAGGGAGGGCGGGAGAGAGGGAGAGGGAGAGAAAGCAAGCGGCCGGCGGACAAGAAGAGCCATTTAAAGCCGAGGCGGCGCAGGAGCCTTCGGCCGTCACGTGACGCGGTTCCTGGAAAGTTCTTGGAAAGCGGCCTTTGCTTTTTTTGTTTTTTCTTTTTCCCCAACCGAGGGAAGCAGCGACGCTTGGAAGGCAGGCTCAACGCCGCGACCTCCCCAAAAGGAGCTTCGGCTTAGCTCGCGGAGAGCGTCCGGACCTTAACCCCTTCCCCTCCACGCGGGCACAAAATCCTTTTGTTTTAGGGCGGTGCAGAAAGGATACTCCCGGTGCCTGCAGGCTGCTCCAGAGCAAAGGAAGGAAGGGCCTCCGTCCACGCCGGTCTGTCTCCTTGCCTCGCGAGCGCGCGCCCCCCCCCAAACCAAGACCCGCGCCCGCCAGGCCTGCCGTCCTCCCTTCCCTCCTCCCGCCCCCACCCTGGTGCCCACGGTTGCCGCCCCCGCGGTTGGGTCGGCGGGGTGCGCGCAGGAGCGCGTGCCCGCCCGCGAGAACATCCCTCCAGCCCGCCGGGAGGACTCTCCCCTGTTGTTTGCCTGGCGTCACAACGTCACATGCACATTTCCTGACCCTGGGAACGAGTAGCAAGAGCGAGTCCTTGCAACGAAGAATC